GTTCGTTTTGTCTGGTAATTTGCAGAGGATTGGGGAAGAACATGACACATGGTATGGTGTGGAGAGTGGAGAGATTTGATGGAAAAATATACGGAAAGTGCGTATTGGGTTCCCACATCGAGAAATCAGCCAATGCATTGATAGATTACACGCCCTTCTGCTTTTCATCAGAGGTCAGACCGCGACACCTGCCCTCCCCTCTTCCTTTCTCTTTCCTTCTGCATTGAGTTACTCAAAACTATAATTAAATAAAATTATGTTATAATTAAATTCAAGACCTTAGTTTTTAATATGAACCGATTTCATACGTTATTTATTAATTAATATATTGTCAAATTTTGTTATTGCTTAATATATTACATATTAATTATAAATTTATTTTTTTATAATTATATTTGATCAAATTTGATAATAAAACATCACTTTCTTCTCACCGAATATTAAAAGCATGAAAACAAATACGTTGGACCACTAAAAAGAATTTGCCCTTTTTTCCATGATGAAGTCTGTACCGAACAAATGCACTTGTGGTGCTACTCATTCTTTAATTCTCTTTGTACTAATAACGTTTTAATTAAATACCTTAATTTAATGTTTAAACTTTAAAGTGTGAAAGATTGAAGCAAGTGGGTGGGACATTGGCCATTGGGTGATTATATTAAGATTTGGCTTTTTTTTTGATTGAGTGAAAGTTAATTATAAAGTAGTATCTGTTCTAAATTAGATAATGAATGTTAATCATTAGATAATGAATGTTCAATTATTCTTACAGTCGTTGATGTTCAAATCTATAATCTTTAAGAACAACAACAGTTCATTTAAACACTAAGGGGGTGTTTGGTTCAAGTATTGTGGGATTCCCATGGGATGGGAATCCCACATTCCCATGTTTGGTTAGTCGGGAATCTCATTTCCGGTAATGTTTTATTACCAATAGTAAATTTTTTAGGGTATATTATCAGGAATGTCATTACATCCATTCTCTTAAGTATTGTAACATTACCGGCGTTTTGGACTAAAATGCTCTTAAATTTCTATTTTTTTTTCAAAAATATCATTCTTCTGTCATTGAATAATAAAAATTCTAAGAAGATTAAATTACAAATTTATCCTTAAATTATTTTAAATTTACAAAAAAAAAATCTATAATTAAAATTTTATATGAAGTTCAGGGGTTAAAAAAATTTACCCTTTCATTAAACATTTTTTATATTTTTAATTTTGTAAAAAAAATTATATAAATATTATGAATTTAATTTTTTAAAGAAAATGTATAAATATTTTACAATTTGTAATATTATACAAATATATAATAAGGTCAATTTGGACAAATATATATTCCAATAATCTTTTATTCCTTTAACCAAACACGGTAATCTTACATTCCTGCTAAACCAACCAAACACAAAATACAACATTCTCAGTAATCCTATTCTCTTGTAATCTTTTATTCCCACTGATAATCTTACATTCCGTTAATGAAACGTACCCTAAAGTTTGATTTCTTTTAAACCAGCAAGTAATGGAACATTTGATTGCGAGAAGAAGCTCTCTTTTTTTTTTTTATTTCTATCGTGAGATTTGCTTTTGGCAGCGAGGGTCATAATGGGAGACATGAACTATGGTTTACAATGAATTACGGTACAACCATTACCATTAATATTTACGTTAATTCTGAAATAATAGATACCGGGGCTTTACGATATTTGATTGATCACAATTCTGTATATTCCATTTTTTATAGAAGTTTCGAGGGAGTTCATTAACGGAATGTTTTCAATAAAAATTGTTTGTTATTGTATATCCTTACTGGTTTTACAAATTAATCCTGCGGATACATATAATTCAGAAGAATATGTGAGTGATTCATATACAGCATCCTTTTCTTTTATCAACGGTTCCACCAATTGATATGTTTCTACAAATAATTGAAATTCAATTTCTTGATCTGTATCTTCAATTTTTGGAAACTTATAAAGTTCTTTTGTTAAGCCCCGATCCATGAACCCACAAAATCCTTCAAATTGTATCTGATTCAACCCAGGTATTGTAGACATTTCCCCATTTTCATCCCCCAGCATTTTGAATTTCCCGCTTATCAAAAAATCCCATTCTTTTCTCATTCTTCATCGAATCATACGAATCGATCTAATAATGATGGAATTGAATTTCTATTCAGTTTACTGAATCACATGAAATTTTATCTAACTCCATATAATATATATGGAACTGATATCAACGATTAAAAAAGAGTATTGTTATCTTTAGAAATCTCGAGTTTAAATAATTATATTTATAGGGTATATATATTATCATAAAATAATATTATATTGTAATTATCGTAGACAATTCTAAAAAGGTTTAATATAAAAATAAGTGTTTAAATAATACATCGAAAAATGTTTTAATGCCTAAATAATTTTAAAAGAGGTTTAATACAAAAATAAATACCTAAAAAATAACTCAAAAATTAAGTTTAAAAAACTATATATAAACAGTTTTAAAATTTTATATATATCTAACCAACATGAGATAATAATCCTTTACATTATCAGCATTGGTTTCATTTCAAACAATTCCAAAATATTATGAAATATTATTATAATAATTTATATTATTTGCTATTGTTCGAATCGTATGGATTGTAATTATAATTTATCTAAAAATAATACTTAATAAATAGTAGGGGGAAATCAAGTGGAAATGAATATTAAAATTATAGAGGTTTGTTGATAATTTTGTTATAAATAATTTTTATAAAATTTTATTTTAATCTTTATGTTTTTAATAATTTTAATTTAACCCTAAAAATACAAAATAAAAAAATTAAAATAAAGTTGCAAATTACTACCGACAACTTTATCAAAATAATTTCAATTGTCGACGACTTTGTGACTGTTTGTTTACTTCAGAATGATTAAGCGCTGAATGATTCAAATGCTGAATGATTCAGAGGCTCTGTATGAATTAGCTCTGAATATGACACGATGTTTGATAATGGCTCTGAATCATTCAGAATGTACTTTGATGTTGAATCATTCAGCACTGTTTTGCTAAATCAGTTAGCACTGAAACATTCAGAGGTGCGAAACAAACGCGCTGAATGCTGAACGATTCAACATTCAGCGCTGAATGATTCCATTCAAAACCAAACAAACAACCCCTTTATCTACACTATAAAATTATCTCTATTTTCTTAATCTATTCAAAACCATCTATAAATACAAAATATTTGTTTTTTCAGCAATTATTTCCTCCAAATTGAGCCAAATAGTAAGAGAAAAATAATGGGTAAACTAGAGAAATGGTCACTAATGGTCGAGAAAGTTTTTATTTTTTTCACCGAAATTTTAAAAGTAACAAATTGATTACTAACATTAACAAAATGATCACTCTACAATCATCTATGTTAAATTGATGACGTGACATTATTTAATTTTCATTTTTTTCGAACAACCCGTCACTCCCAATATATTCACAAATTATTATCTAAATTAAGAGCTCTTGCAGAAGTCAATAATCATCGGCTAGCCATTGTTGCAATTTATCCTTTAAAATCATCTGTTAATCAAACCGCGGCATTGATTTCACCATTAATGACTTGCACCACCCTCGTTCCTGTGTTTTTAAATACATTATCTTCTCTGAAGCATACCTTTAGAAACTTCTCCTTCATTGTTTTCCAAGAAAAATAGACAGTGACATGCAAATACAGATAGAAAGAAAAGAAGATGCATAGAATGATGAACAGATGAAGTAAAAGATAGGGTTTTATAGCAGTTGGATTAACCAAACCCCTGATTTTTTGGTTTAGATTTTCAATGGGGTTTTCCTTTAAAGCAAGGCATATGCTTGCTGCTTGCAGACTGCCGAGTTCTGCTGTATCTCTACAAACTGAAGATGGCGCGAACAACTTAGGTTTTGCTGTATCCTCATTGCGTTGGCGGACATTTTTGCAAGAGATAAATTGCAACAATGGCTAACCGATGATTATTGACTTCTGTAAGAGCTCTTAATTAAGATACTATTAATTTATGAATACAGAGGTGATGGGATGTTTAAAAAAAATTGAAAATTAGAAAGTTGTTGGAGTAATTAGATATAAAATTATTATTTAAAAATCTATTTAATGTTTTTGCAGTAGTTTAAGGTTATTGTTGTTACGTCATCAATTTAATGAATTACGGTGAAATGATCATTTTATTAAAATAAATAATATTAGTGACCAATTTGTCACTTTTAAAACGTAAACTAAGAAAACAAAATTTTACTAAAACATTAATGACTTTAAAAATAAATAGAAGAAATGGCAAATGAGTAAATGTAGGAAAGAGTAGGGGGACATCTCTCAAAGATTGGAATTGCGGAGTGTCTGATCGTTTCCCGATAAGCCGGTTTCTATGTTCGATCGAACGGTAATGAATTGAAAAGCATTTTCCTCTCATTTTCTTTCTCACGTGCAATATTTTCCCTTCTCTTCCTCACATTAAACATATTCATATTATATTATACACAAACCCCATCCCCTTCACCTCTAAATATCTTCTTCCCCAAGAGTCTTATCGTTCACAAAGTAACCCAAACCTTGCAGTTTAGCTGTAAGTTCTTTTATGTACATTAAATCCTTCTTTTACATATGGGAATTCAAGTGATTTCAATAGCTTTTGCTTACCAATGGAAGTTTTGCTTCTTTGGGTGCTTATTTAACCTTGCTAATTTTCTCCTTGGTTTGTTTTTAGAGCTCAAAGAAATGGATTTGATCGTGTAAAGCTTGTGGTTTTATAAAATGGTCTATGACTCTATGCATAAAAATGGAATCTTTATTTTAAACTACTATTACTAGTTTTAAGATTTAAAGGTTTGATGATGTAAATTCATTGAGAAGCTAATCATAATATCTCAAGAAATCTTATTTAGTTGTTGGTTTGATGGTCTTTTTTTTGCAGGTAACACAGATCTGTTCAGAGCTGGAAGCTTTGTTCATAAGAAGCAGTGAGAATTGCAGATCTGTTGTCTGGCTTTGGATTTCAACTTTGCACTAATTCTGACTACAATCAGTGGAGAAAAAGAGTGAAAAATGAAATCAAAACATACCCTTTTTCTTCTCGATATTACATCTATTGTTCTAAGCAGTCGACACCTGTAAACATCTTGTGCATTGTTCCCAAGTGAGCAAAAAAAAAAATATCTGTTTGTTGGTAGTTTCAGAAACAGTTGATTTATTAATGGGGTTGTCTGTCATTTACTAGTCTTTTTATTAAGCTAAATTTGTAATGGTGGTGTGTGATGTCTGCCATTTTTAGGGTCGGCTTAAAGAAACCAGCTTTGAATAAGAGAGAAAAAAGAAAGGGTTGGTTATCAGATCGGCACCAAATTGTACACAGCAATCACTGCCATTTTTTTTGGTTTGAGCTTAATTTGAAGCTGAAAAAGAAAAGGATTTTTTCTTGTCAGATTCAAGGGTATATATTAGCTGCTGCAAGCAATTTACATTGCTTGTTTCAACTTTTGTTAAAGGTTTATCAACTTTGAAAGAGGGTAGGTTCCAGTAACTCTCTTCTTTTAGCTTACCTTTAAGTACATATAAACAACATACTAGAGCAGTAAAGTCAGATCATTGTGAGCAGTACAAATTTTAATGAATTTTTTGTCAAATTCATATTTGAAGTTTTGAACTTTGAAAGCATCAGATGCTTTTTTAGTTTTCACCTTATCTTTAAATTTTCTTTCCTTTCTCTTTTGTACTTTTCTTTGCAGGTTGTGGCTGCCATTTCTTAGGTTTTTGCTTTTGAAAGCACTGCTGCTGCAAAAAAGAAAAGCTTAAAGGAGAGAGAGTCTACTGACTTGGACTGTGATATGTCAAAGGCCTTTTATCAGACTACATAATCCAAAGTACTCTCTTTGTGTGTAATAGTCATCATCAATACATAAAACATCTCAACCCCACCATTTTTTCTCATCTGCTTTCTCTTTCTAACATTTCTTCAAAGGAAATGAAAACCCAGATTTTCTTTCCTTTTTGCAAGTGAGAAAAAAAAAGGTATAAGAGGGGGAGGCTTTTGAGTTGTTGGTTTGTGCGAAAGGAATGAACTTGGTATGGAGGTGGATGATATTGAGACTCAAGCCTGTAAGTTCTCAACAGTTAGTAATGATGGAAGAAATGGGTCGAGCAAGGTCGAGGACGATGAAGATGGAGATGTCACTAAAAGCGCTGCTGCAAACGGCGGCGGCGGTGTTTTAGCTGAAAGTGGTTGCACTAATTCACTTAGAGGTTGGAGCAACTCTTCGAGGATTATTAGGGTTTCTCGAGCCTCAGGTGGCAAAGATCGGCACAGCAAGGTTTGGACTTCGAAAGGGTTAAGGGACAGGCGAGTAAGATTGTCTGTTGCTACGGCTATACAGTTTTATGACTTGCAAGATCGATTGGGTTATGATCAGCCTAGTAAAGCTGTGGAGTGGCTGATAAAAGCAGCTTCTGATGCAATTGCTGAGCTTCCTTCACTCAATGCGTCATTCCCCGACACCCCAAAGCAACTGAGTGATGAGAAAAGAGCGAGTGAGGGTGTTGAGCAAGGGTTTGGCTCGGCTGAAGTTGAGTTAGATGGTGATCCGAGTAATTACCAACACAACCAATCTCAACAGCAACACCTTTCTTTGTCGAAATCGGCTTGTAGTAGCACGTCCGAGACGAGCAAGAACTCGAGTTTGTCCCTTTCGAGGCCGGGGATCCGTGCGAACCGAGTGAAGGCTCGGGAACGAGCTAGGGAAAGAGCAGTTAAAGAAAAAGAGGTTCATCATCATCGACAACAACAAAACATGAACCCCATTTCTCGAAACTCCACCTTTACTGAGTTACTCACTAGTGGCATTGGCAATGTTAGCAACAATAACAACGCCAATCCTACTTCAGATTCAGCACATCAAAATCCCAATGCTGAGCCTGATTTTTTCCAAAAGGCTAATACCACTGCCAGGCTTTGGCCTGTGACTCCAATGGATTACTTCGCCTCAGGACTCCTTGGACCTTCTTCTTCAAGAGGAAGTCATCATCATTCCTCAGCTTTTCCAGGACAAATCCAGCTTGTAAACTCTTTACACCAGCACCCAATGGCAACTCCACCATTCACTTTGTCAAGTGAAAACCATCAAGAGATGCAACATTTCTCGTTTGTTCCGAACCCTGACCATTTGATCCCGGTGGCAACAACACAACCGGGGCAAGGGGTTGATTACAATCTCAATTTCACAATCTCTTCTTCCGGCCTTGCTGGTTTCAATAGGGGGACCCTTCAGTCCAATTCTCCTTTTTTTCCTCATCACCTCCAGAGGTTTTCTTCTATAGATGGATCACCACAACCTTTATACATTGGTACACCACCAGTGGACAATCATCATCACCACCATCAATTCCCAGCTGATTTAGATGGCCGCTTGCAGCTCTTCTATGGGGATGGAAACAGGAACTCGGACCAGAAAGGAAAAGGAAAGAACTAATCAGTTTCCTTGGGGAAAAAAGTTTCCATTTTACCCCCCCCCCCCAATCTTTTCCCTGGTAAGTTGAACATCCTCATTCAATTCAAGTTACCCCCTTTGCCTTAATTTTCTTAATTAAAGTTCATATCTTTCTGCCTGGTTAAGGGTTTATTTAGAGTTAACTTTTTGATTTGTTTATGACTAGCTATTTGGGTTTATGTGTTGTGCCATGAATCACTCACTTTCTTGGTATTCATAAAGTCTACCATTGGGGCAATATATATTTATATATCTTTTGTGGGTTTCAAGTAATATAATTTATATTGTCTTTTCATGATTCCTGCATGGATTGGTGTGAATAAGGACCGGCTGGTTGTCTCCTTGTTTGTTCTCTTACTTGTTCCCTTCCCCCTAACATATGTGAACCCATGCCAGGTGTTAGTTTCTTGGTGGCCAAGCATTGCTGGGCACTGAATAGAACAATCAAAGTCTACTTTTGAAACATGGTTTTACTTTGGTATAAGCTTTAGAAACCTTAATTAATTTATTTTTTTTTGCCTCAAGCTGAACATTTGGCAATGAATCAGTTGGTTGTCATATTCCTGAGTTGTTGATTAGGGGTAAATTAAATCTTAAAAAAGATAAATGAAAACCCCATGCACGTAAGACCTCGAGCTCTCAAACTTTAAGACACATGCATGGTATATGTTTTTCTAGGTTTAGTAATAATGAAGATTTTAATTGTATATTATTATAAGTTAGTTAATTTCAAAGCTGTTGATTCAAATATGTTTAAATATATAATTTAGAGTTATAAATATATGTAGGAAATTTATATGCTTTAAATTCAATCAAAGCCCTCTACTCCTAAACACTAATGTTTTTTAAAGAAAAATATGCACAGTTATTCTAAGATATATTAAGTTTGTGAGGTCTAACATTTTTTTTTTGATAGAATAGATCAAGCATACAATATCCAAAATGGGAAGAAAAACTATACAATAAAAGGACTAAATATGCAAAGCGTAGACACTAAAACATAATAAAAGAAAATATCTCCCTAATACAGAATTTTCTCGATATGATTTAAAATTTTAGAAATTTTGTAGTTTGTAACTTGTGACAGGAATTCTTCATGAACAAAGTTAGATGTTTGTTTCTTTTAGTTGGGAGGGATCATGCAGGTTTAAATCTGAGGTTTGGTGTCATTTACCACTGCACAAATAATTAATTGGCAAGTGATTCATCAATTGAACGAATGATTAAGGATACTCATGTTATCTCATTTTGTGTGGATTTAAATTCTGATATTTGCCTATGAAGTAAACTATGGGATAGGGGAATTAGAAATTACTACTGGTGACAAAAACAAGTCATGGTGTCTACTTTTAAATATTTATTCAGTCCCATAACAATAACCCTATTCTGACAAGTTCCTTAAACTGCTCCCACGATTTCTTCACATTATGCAAGAAAAAAGTTACTTCTTTTGAGAACACACTCCACTCATTTTTTAAATGTGTTTTTATAAGGGTAACTTGGAGTGCTAACTAGGGTTATTTCTTTTATATGTCTGAAGGTAAAAAGGTGCAGATTAGGATCTTTGTGATAATAGATTTAGCTTATGTATCATCTTCTTTATGTTTTAGATGTTGTCATTCTCTTGGTTTGACTATATTTTCCAGGGAAAAGAAAACAAGTTAAGATATTATCTTCAAATGGATAAATACCATAGATTGCCTTTTGCTCTTAGGCACTTTTGTTTTGTGTTCTTTTAGTCGTAAGGGGTTACATTTACATCTTCTTCAGAGAAAGATTTTGACATATATACCTTTTGTCAAATTATAACAGCTTAGGAGTTTATATAGTAAAGAAATGTTGTAGCTGAAGCTTTTTTGTGTACAATTACATGAATGTTGTTAGAAACATGAAAATAATCTATGCGATCAGGCCTTAATGGATTGTGCAGTTGAGTTTGCTTTAGTTTTGAATTATTATTAGTAGTTTCAGCCTTGTTTGAGTCACAACAAAGCTGAAAATTATATCAATTCAAAGGAATCATAGCATAGAACCCCCTTGGTATTGCTGTGCCTGCTCTTTTCTTTGCCTTCATCATATGCTCTAATTCAAGGACAGACACAGGATTTTATGTCAAGATGTGCAAACTTAAGAAGTTATATTAAAAATTTAAGGGATGTAAAATTACAAAATTTCAGAGGCGCGAAATTTAACCATTGATAGAAAATATAAACAAAATTCTTGAACAAAGTAGGAATTTGAAATTTCCTGTGGGTGCTACCGTACCCCTCGATATGAACATAATATTTGTTTGTATATATTTTACTCGGTGCTTATGCTCATGGAAATATAAAGAGAAAGGGATTGCTTGTTGCCTTCTACTTTTGATTATGATTTCCAAAGGACTCTCAACACTAATTGAAGTCACTCTAAGGGTCAGTGAAATTAACCATATGCAAAAGAAAATCACCCCATTGTGTTATAAAAGTTAGATGTTGTCAAAGCAAAATCATCGAGCCCTTGGATCAATTAATACCGAATTGTTCTAGTTTGATGAAGGTCTCGAACTCGAGTCATTGAGAATACAACAACGTTAATTATTTGATGAAAGAGTTTGGTGTCTTTATAGTCATATACCCCGTTCCATGGGATTAAACAGTTAATTATTAGTTTGTTAAGTCATATTATCCGAATAATACCATCTAACAATTAGTTTAACATGACGAGGCTTTAGATTTCTCTAACAAAATTTAAGGTATAAATCGTATACGGGACAAGTTAGATTGGGATGATCGCCACTATAACGAGTCTTTATAATATCCGATTTAGATTAATAGATTGAAAACTGATACTTATCCTCTCTACCTATGGTCATCAAATAAGAATAAATCAGCTCTTTTTGTAGCTTGAATTGAAGAATAAGGTCATAGCTAACAAATGAATATTGGAGGTTTGCTTTGCACGAAGTTAAAATTTTGTATATAATAGATTATGTGGGTTGGTTTGGATGAATGGTATGCCTCATTCCCAAATTTGTCATATCAGTCATTTAATGACCATGAGATGTTTCAAGGGACCAATCATCTTTGAGATAATATTGTTGGGAAAAACAATCACGAATCTCAAACATGAACGTTAAAATGAGCATAGAAGAAACATATATATATATATATATATATATATATATATATATATATATATATATATATATATTTGTATCTTGCAAGGGAGTACCTTTTGAATTTCATAATGTATAGTTTGCTGCCTACCAGAGAATCCAAGTCGAACCATATTGATGTTAAGTTTTGGTGTAAAACTTTTGGATGCAGGAAAAAGCAAAGATGGAGAAAGCTGCATGGGAAGTAATGAGTGAGTTTCCATCCATGCATGTGGTGATTGATATATATATATATATATATATATATATCCCTTTGTTGTTGTGCTTCTGAAAAATTGTTGGTATTTCTGGTTTAACCCTTTCTGAAGTCCATCATTGTGTGTTTCCAATATGTGTCACAAAAACAATTCCACTGAAGTTAATTACTTTTTTTTTCTGCTTCTGAAAATTGTCCCATCTGGTCGAGAAACTGAAGCCTTGTGTGTTGTGAGAAAATGCAGGAAAATTGTCATTGGTACATGTACCTACAAGAGGGTTCATTGATAATGCATCTGTTTCCAATATCAGAAACAATTTGCAAGCCTATTTATGAAAACAAATCCAAGAATGATATTTGGCTTTGATGATAAGAAAATTGTACCCATCCTCATGTTAATGCTGGAACTCAGCCTCAACTCTCAAGGCTTCAAGCTCATGCCCGCATTTAAGTTGTCATTCTCCTTGAATAGGATGCCATCCTCTATTTTACAATCACAAAAGATTTCTTTATGATTCTAAATGTAATATCTAGAAAATCAATTTTAGAAATGATAGTGGAGTATTTTTCTAAAAGCAAATATTTAAACAATTTTTTTAAAAAAATAAATAATTCTACATTTATCTAAATATAATATGTAAATATAAAATATTAAAAAATTTAAGGTTTTTTATTTAACATATTTCAACTTTATCATAATCATCCCCTATTAGAGGTGTTCGTCGGTCTGAACTTACGCATATGATTAATACATTTTATGATTTGTGAAGGCCAATTCGGCTCAAACACATTTTAACTGTGGCTAAAGACAGCTTGAAGAACATTGAAGAGTTGGTGCAGCACAAGGAGAAGGCGATTGTGCATATATTGTGTGCAAGGTGTCCTGTAATTTACTCCAAACATGTTTACTTCCCCATTTGTAACATGCTACTTGTCCTTTCCAAGGGCTCTGAGATTTTTGTTGAATCGAATTCGGATGATCGAAATCTTACCAAGCCTGCAAGTTCATCTTTCTGAGAGAAGCAGTGCATGGCCACATATGGTAGTCACATATGATGTCTCACTGCTCTTCAAATGATCACGTGTTTCTTTTTTATGGATTTTCATCATCCACTTAGAAACATAATCGGTGCAGTTCTGTACTTGAGAATAATATTCACAAGGTCCTTACATAGATGCCCTGAGCTACCGCCGCCATCGTAAGGCACGGGTTTACGCCAACACAGCATGTATTTACTTCAGACGTGCAGTCGACACTGTCATTAATGATATTTCGCAAAACGCGTATCCTTCAGAACTAGACAAAAAGATCATAAATTAATGAATACTAAGCTTGCATTTGGTTGGTATAAGGGAGATTCATTTCAACTATTTTTTTTTTTGAAGAATGATTGTGACAGATTAATTATACTTAGCTGCTAAGTATATTTCTTGTTCTTGACAAGCATTGATACTACTTTATCGTTTATGCATGACAAAAATATTTCATAAAAGTTGAAGAACACACGTATGAAATGTTTTGAAAAAAAATCTTGGGTTCGAATCAGAAACCTGGTTAACATAAACCACTTGAGGTCGTAGCTTCCCAAAGGATGTCAATCGTTTGAGGTCCTTTCCTCGAAGATGCGGAGATGCTCTTCT